GGCCCGCCTCCGCCACGGGCCCGCCCCCTCCCAGGTTAGCCGAGCCCCTTGGGCGGCCCCGCCTCCGCCCCAGGCCACGCCTCCTCCAGCCTTAGCTGTGTCCCTCCCTCCCGTCAGGACCCGGCTCTTGCCAGGTTCCGCCTTCTTTACGTCACTTCTGGCCTGCGTTGTCTGAGCGATTCCGCCCATCAGCTGACGTAAGTTCCGGAGCAGCCCAGGGTTGGGCTTGCGGCTCGGGCGGAGCCGCGGGAGCAGCGCCTTTGGCGGCCTCGGCCGCGCCCGCTCCGGCGGTCCCCTCTCCGGCCCCGCCCGCGTCCCTGGCTGTCCTCGGCGGCGCCGGGCCTCGCTTTGGCTGATCCTCTGTTCCAGGCTGCGCATCGCTCCAAGCACGTCAGTTATTTGTTTATTTATTGTCGGTCGTGGGCCCGATCTCGGCTGGGCGCTGTCCTCAGCTCTCCAGCTCAAGGTGAGCGCTCTACCACGGGAGCCACAGCGCCACCTCCGCTTTCCTGGTGGTTTTCTAGTGGTTTGTTGGAGATAAGAGTCCCCTGAAGGCTGGGAAGGTGGCTCAGTGGTGGAGCGCTTGCCTTGCATGCATGAGGCCCTGGGTTCGATTCCTCAGCACCACATAAGCAGAGTAAAGCCAGAAGTGGCGCTGTGGCTCAAGTGAAGAGCGGAGAGACAGCGCCCAGGCCCAGAGTTCAGGGCCCACGACCGACTTTTACTGCCCGGGCTGGCTTTGAACCTCCATCCTCAGATCTCAGCCCCCTGAATAGCTAGGATGTCAGGCGTGAGCCACCGGCGATGGCTTCAAGCACTTTTTACCCATGGTGTCCCCTCTCAGAATGTTGGTCTGTGTTTTAAGGGTTGTGTTTTAAGGACTTGAACTTAGGGCCTTGTCCCTGTCCCTGAACTCTTTTTGGCTGAAGTGGAAAAGCACTTATAACTGCTTGAGCCACAGCACCATTTCCGTTTTTTTAGTGGGTTGTTGGAAATGAGTCTCACGGACTTTCCTACCTGGGCTGGCATTGAACCTGCTGCTCTACCATTTGAGCCACGTTTTCACTTCTGGCTTTTTTTTTTTTTTTCCCAGTCCTGAGTACTGTCCCTGAGACTTTCTGTGCTCATTTAGTGCTCTACCACTTGAGCCACAGGGCCATTTCTGTTTCTTTTCTCTTCGATTCTGAGGAATGGAAGCCAGGGCTTTATGCATGCTAGATAAGCACTCCACCACAAAGCCACATTCCTACCCTCCTTCTGTCATTTTACTGGTTAATTGCAAATAGAAGTCTCAGAGTTATCTGTCTGAGCTGGCTTTGAACCTGATCTTCAAATCTTAATCTTCTGAGTAGCCAGGATTACAGATGTGAGACATTACTGCCCAACTAAGTCTTAGCTTTTTTGCTCAAGGCTGATGCTTTGCCACTTGAGCTATAGCTTTTTGCTGAAGATGAGTCTCTTGGATTTGTCTTCCAGAGCTGGCTTCAAAACCTGGATCCTAGTCGGGCACCAGTGGCTTCCACCTGTAATCCTAGTTACTCAGGAGGCTGAGATCTGAGGATCACAGTTCAAAGCCAGCCTGGGCAGGAAACTCCCTGATACTCTTATCCCCAACAAACCACTAAAACACTGGAAGTGTTGGTGTGGCTCAAGCAGTAGAGCGCTCGCCTTGAGCTGAAGAGCACAGGAAAAGCACCCAGGCCCAGAGTGCAAGCCCCATAACCAAAAAAAAACAGAACCTGGATCCTCTGATCTCAACCTTCTGAGTAGCTATGATTAAAGGCATGAGCCACCAGTGTCCTACCTCCTAGTCTTAGAATGTCTTTCTTTTTAAACTTCCAATTTCAATGTTACAAAGATGTTTTAATACCAGAAGTAGCACCTAATGGTCTTATCCAGAGTGGAATCCATAGGAGATATGGCCCCAAAGGGACCAGATTTCTTAGAATAATTACCTATAGAAAGGAGTTCAAGTTTTATTCTAAGTACAAATGGAAAGACATTCTGTAATTGAGTTTGCATTAAAGAGATCACATGCCCTGCTTTGTGGAGACAATATTTGTGTATTTTGGGGGGAGAGAGTTGAAAATGAAAATGGGGAAACTCCCTAGCAAACTTGTTCCTGTCTTCAGGTAAAAGATGAAGGTAATGTGGATGGTACAGTAAGAGCCAGACTAACCCAATTCTGTCAACAGCAATATGCCCAATTTATACACCCAGATGCACATTATAGCTCCATTGCAACATAATATTGTTTTCACATTTCCTTTTACCCTCTAAATGGAAGATCATGAACTTACAGAGGGAATCATCATAGGCTCTAATTTAATTTCATTTGCTCTTGCAAAGTCATGAGAGGCCCAGTTAGCACCCTCATTTTATTATTGGTGTCCCTGGCAAAAAAGCCCTGGTTCAAGGTCCTGTCCCTTGCCTTCACCAAAAAAAGAAGGCATAAAATATAAAAGGGGGGGGGGAGAGAATGTTTTTAGAGTTTTAGCCAAAATTGGGAAGAGAAACCTTCTCAATCTCTCTGCCTTTCCGCAGCAGCGCTACAATATGTAGAAACAAAAGCCAGAAACATACATATTCAGAATCAGCTGTGGGTCCCAGTGAGTTGGGCTGGAACAAGTAGGTCACAAAAGCCCACATTTTATCTTTCCAGATTCCAGTGGCAGAGGCAACTTTGGCATACTTTTTCCATTAGGAGCTGGAATTGAGAAGACGTCTCCCTCCAAGAAAACCCCAAGCCTCCTCAGATGATTTTTGTTTTAAAGACAAAGCAAACACGCAAGTCGGGGTAATTTCATGGCTAGCAAGAGAAAGTTGAAGGCTTTTCTTGTCACCAGGACTGGGGTTTTAGCTCCGCCCCTCGGCCCGCCAGCGCCCCACCCCGAACTACATTTCCCGGCAGGCGCCGCGCCCGCGCCACGCACTTCCTCCCGGCACCCTCCACGGCGAAAAGGCCGAGCGGGCTCGGAGCCGACGCCACCAGCCTCTCGTCGTCGCTGCTGCGGTCGTCCACCTGAGAGACGCTGTTGTGGCCGTTCCCGCCGGCCACCATGTCCGCCCAGGCGCAGATGAGAGCCCTCCTCGACCAGCTCATGGGCACGGCGCGGGACGGTGAGTGCGGGCGGCCGGCCAGGCGCGGGGCTGAGGGCGGGAGTGGGACGAGGCC